AATTGGAACCTCAAGGAATCAATCACAACAAAGCCACATATATATAATTATCTAGTACAACTACCATAACATAGGAAAAGTGTTGATTGATAATGGGTCCATTCTTAATGTTTTGCCTAAGTACATCTTGGACCATCTACTAACCGGTTCCTCTCATATAAAGCTAAAAAAAAATGATGATAAGAGCTTATCATAGTACCCCTCATCGAGTTACCGAGGACATAGTTATTGATTTAGACACTAGGCCATATCAATTCCGGACTACTCTATATGTGATCGATATTCATCCTTCTTATACTATGGTATTAGGTAAGTCATGGATTCATTCTATAAGAGCTAGCACATCCTCACTACATCAAAGGTTAAAGTACATAGCTAAAAGAAAACTAATCACTATAAGGGTCGAGGAGGCTATGCTTATGGATAAAAACATGTTCCTTTTCTCCTCATTTTATTTGCAATTTTATTTCATTTTAGGGATATATATTAGGATCACCACTTTAAAAATGAAAATGATTACACTAAAAATGATTAGCCTAAATTTGATGAAACTTTAATTAAAATATATGAAAAAGAGCGAGAAGAGGATGATATAAGAGAATTCACAAAACTCGTAAAATTGTTAGAACATTCTATCAAACCATACCGGGAAGAGTTAGAAGTGATAAATATGGGGACTAATGAGAACTTATAAGAGCTAAATGTTGGCACATTAATAGAGGATGTTGAAATGGAAAGTCTTATTACCTTTTTGAGAGAATACTTTGTTGTGATTATATGGTCATATACTCGACATGCTAATACTAGACACTAAGGTAGTAGAGCATAGATTGCCTTTGAATTTGAGGTGTAAATCAATGAAATAGAAGTTGAGAAGGACAAGGTTGAATGTTTTGCTTTAGGTAAAAGAAAAGATTAAGGAGAATTATGATGTATGATTCCTAGAAGTGGTTGAATACCCATAATGGTTGTCAAACATAGTAGTAGTAGACAAAAAAGATTATAAGATCTCGTATGTGTGGATTATCGAGATCTAAATAGAGCTAGTCCAAAAGATGACTTCCCATTGCCTCATATTACCATCCTAGTTGATAATACTACAAAGAATACCATCTATTCATTCATGGATGGATTTTTTTTTTTTTCGTATAATCAAATCAAGTTGGTTATGGATCACAAAAGAAGATGACATTTATCACACCTTGGAGAGCTTTTTACTAACGAGTTTATGCCTTTCGGATTGAAAAATTTTAGAGCCACTAATCAAAAAGCTATGGTTACATTGTTCCATAACATGATGCTTAAACAAGTTTAGGTACATATGGACAATATGATTGAAAAATCTAAAAAGGACAATGATCTTGCTTTGATTATATGAAAGCTATTTGAAAGATTATGAAAATATTGGTTGAGGTTGAATTCTATAAAGTGCACTTTTGCTATAAGGTCTAAAAAATTGCTTGGGTTCATAGTAAGCAATAGAGAAATTTAAGCTAATCTCGGTAAAATGAAGTTCATCCAAAGTACGCTTTTGTTCTCACTTGAGAATGAAGTTAAGAGCTCTCTAGGTCAATTGAATTATATTGTGTGCTTTATTTCTCAATGAACCAATACTTGTGATCTAATATTTTGACTACTATAAAGAAAAATCACAATGTATGGGACAAGGATTGCCAAGACGTCTTTGAATAAATCCGAGTAATATTTGTAAAATCCTTTATTACTGCTACCATCGGTACCATAAAGACCTTTAATCTTATATTTTTTAGTGATAAAATTAGCATTAGAAACTATCTTGGGCCAGCATGATGAGTTGAGCAAGAAAGAACAGGCCATCTATTACTTGAGCAAGAAGTTCACTAATTGAGAGTCAAGAAATAGTTCACCAAGAAGATGTGTTATGCCTTAGTATTGTATCCATGATGACTCAAACAATAAATGCTCTATTACATTATTTGGTTAATTTCAAAAATAGACCCATTTAAGCACATCTTTGAAAAGTCATGCCTGTCTAATTGAATTGTAAGATGACAAGTCATGTTATTCAAATATGATATTATGTATATGATAAGAAAAACGAGTGAAAAGAAGCTCATAATAGTTGGCATGAGATTCTATCATTTGCCTTGCATATTTATTGAGTAATAGTTAAAACTTCAATAAGAGTAACTCCTTACTTGTCTAGTATATAGAGTGGAGGGAACGATGCCATTAGAAGCTCGAAATACCTTTTTAGAGGGTTTTAAAAGAAGTTGAATTAGAAGAATCTGAATGGAAAAAAAATATTGATATGAATAGCTAAATACAATAAGTGAAAAATGACTCACTATCATCTACCATACCTAACTATGTCAAAGAAGAATGGTCGAGCATACGATAAAATGATGCATCGAAGAAAGTTTCAAGAAAGAGAAATCATGCAAAAAAAAAGTCCTAAAAATAATAGGTTTAGATTAAAGTAAATGGGCACCAAATAAAAAGGTCCATATGTGGTAAAGAAAGAACTCTCTAGTAGAGCTCTCCTTTAACAAATAAGGATGATGGTGAATTACTAAAGCTAATGCATTTAGATACTGTAAAGAAATATTACACATGGGTTGTGACTCTTGTCATTTAAAGTAGTAAAGTATTTATTAGAGTTTTGGCCAATCTACTATATGTGTTAACAATTTCTTTTACTTCTTACTTTTCTTATTACCTCTCATCATCAAATATATGATTTTCTAACTCATTTTCAAATGTGATCGATCACGTGAAATATTTTTTTGTTGGTCCTCTACATAATCATGGATTAATATTATCTATAAAACATGATAAACAATTCAAATACCAAATAATGATATGATAAGGAGGTTTATCAAAGTTTGTAGTATGATGGTGCCTTCTAAATTGTGTTCACTAAGGAAAATGTTTCTTATGACATTACAAACAATTCTAATAAGTCAAAAGAAATTTACACGAGTAGTAAACTCAACAAAGAAATGGAAAAATTTAATGTTTTGAAAAAGTAAGTCACCACATCACCAAATACTAATCATATGACATCGATATGATCCGATAGCCTATAACAAATAATTATGACATAATTACTAGATAAGCTCGACTTGGGGATAGTAGTAAGCCTTGCACTCGAAATGTTAGACAACGAGAGATGACACCGAGTAAAAGAAGAAGTGTAGTTTGAATGGTCATGACTTATTTTTCTAACAAAAAAAGGATAAAACTCCTAAACTAGTAATGTATTTAATAATAGCCTCTTTGTTCCATTTAGCTATACCACTCACAAAAGGTAGGTCGACCTTAATAATAGATTAAAAGAATTATGTATGTTTTTCAATTTACACTTTGTTAATTTTCTCTTTGTTATTGTGTTCTTTACAAAGCTTTTGGCACCTTGTAAAAATATATATATATATATGGTCCGTCACATTTGTCTAAACCCAAATGGTTTGTTAGGTCACTCTAAGTCAAAGTGATCTATCATGTGTTGCTAAATTAGAATGGTCTATCATGTCTTATAAAGTGAAAATGGTCTATCACAATAAGCTAAATCAGAGTGGTTTGCCACATCCTATAGAGTTTAAGTGGTTTATCATGTCTCATAGAGTCAAAGTCATCTATCACATATTGTCAAATTAGATTGGTCTGTCACATTTTATAGGGTTAGAATGATCTGTCATGACCAACCAAATTAGATTGGTATGCTACATCCGCCAAGTTAGAATAGTTCATCATGTTGTTCTAAATTAGAATAGTTTTTCATCTCTTGTAGAGTGAGAATAGTCCGTTACATCCAACTAAATCAAATCACTATCTTGTAGAGTGAAAGTGGTTTTTCATGTCCTACCAAATCAAAGGGGTCTATCATATCTTACAAAGTTAGAGTGGTTTGTTATGTATTGTAAAATCAAAATGGTTATCACATTTTATAGAGTCGAGTGATACATCATATCTAGCCAAATCGGACTAATCCATTGCCACTCATTGAGTTAAGGTGGTTTGTCACGTTTTGTGAAATCGAGTGGTCTATCAAGTCTAACCAAATTAGAATGGCTTGTGACATTTAATAAGATTAGAGTTTTCTATCACATCTTGTTAAGTCGAGTAGTCTATCAAGTCTTATAGAGCTAAAGTGATTTTTCATATCCTTTGATATCATCACGGTCATACATGCCACATATTTTTATTTCTACTTTTTTTCAAATGGTCAATTGCCTATTGAATTCAATGATCGCTTTTTATGTTTTCCTATTGTTTATGCTATATGCTTTCATTTCAATTCGATTCTTCTTTACGGACCTTTATATACAAATTCAAATAATAGACTTTTAATAACCTTATAATGAAAGCATTGTAAAGTCGGGACAATTGTTTGTACCTAATTTTTCACTCTTATTATTTTTTATTTTATTAAAAATAAAAAATAATAATGAAAATAAAATAAAAAATAATACCAAATAAAAAAAGGATTAGAATGTAATTTAATTAAAATCTGTGGCTTAAGTTAATTTTAGGGTCTAATTAAAAGAAATAGGAAGTTTGATAACCAAGAAATACCCAATTGAGGGTATAATTAAAAAGCCTCTAAAACCCTAAACCTTTAAATAAAATAAAAATGGTACAATTAGAAGAAAAGGAAAAGGCCCTTTTTAATTGGAATTTAGGAGTGACATTGAAGTTCAAACAATCAAAATTGCATTTGTATTGATGAGTTACGAGGAATTTTGGACAAAAATTGACATTTAAGTAAAAAGCCTTAATTTCCCCTATAAGTACCCAACCTCTCTCATTTGTTTCAACAAAGCACTACCCACCATCTCCTCTATTTTGAAGCCACTACCACCCTTGTCCCTTTTATTGAAACCCCAAGCTCATTTCCTTTACCTAATCAACTACCACCATCACTTTAAGCAAACACTCTACTCGCCTAAGATCACCATCGATTCCAAACTACGATAGCAACCATCCCTAACTTGAGACTTTCTCTCTCTCTCCTTTAGTCACCTAACCATTCCTCTCACCCGAACATTAGCCCTCTCCTTCATCTCATCTAAATAGCGCCTTCCTATATTTTTTGATAGAAACAACCATAACCTATTTTCTCCTCTTACTTGAACACCATCCCACTCTTTCATCTCACCTAAATAGACTCCTCCTCTATTTTTGAATAAAAACTCCTCAATCAAAATTCCCTCCTCCATTTCAACAACTCTAACGACCACCATTCTCCTCTTTAACTCTCGAGTCACCAATATAACCAATCGAGACCCATGCTACCCGAGAGCTCCATGCCGCTCACCACTCTAATCATCTACATGGAACACTAAGCCCTATTTTCTACCACCTAAAATAATGCTAGCCAAAACCCAAGACAAATGAGACCTCAACGGCAGCCATCATTCCATCGCCAAAAACAAAACCAGGTGAGACATCACCTAAGAGCTCTTCCATGGCCGACTCGCATTTATTCATAATTTTAACTTAAAAACACCCATTATCACAACATCTTATCTTGGATAAAACTAGGCAAAAAAGCAAAACTAGTATTATTCTTTTTTATGTTTAGTAGTAACATAAACTTGATTAATTACGGATAGAATAAAACATAAAAACTCTTTTTGGTGGATTATTGTATTTGACGGGATCAACATAACATTCTAGATTATAATTTTTATGTTATTATTTTTTTAGTGGGAATAGGAGCATTGAACAAGATAAGACAAGATTAATTTTTGTTATGGAACTTTAAATTGGACAAAATAAAACTAGAAAAAGGGCTCAAGAATAGTTGCTTCCTCCATCTCATCTAATCGAAACAATCGATCCTTATCGAGATTGAAGGAAGTGAAATTGATCCAAACAAGATTATAAACATCAACATGCTATTTGGATAACTTTCAAATCTCTAAATATTTATTTTAAATAATGAATTAAAATTCCATGTTATGAATGATTGAATTATCAAATACTTTGTTTGATTATAAATAAGGTAACTCGCCATATTTAGTGCTACTTGAGATGATTTCCATGTTTTCTCGCTCATAAAAAAAAAAAGGAAAATAGTGACTTCCCACCTATGTTGATAAAGCTACTATTGGCCTTCAAGCTAGTTTTATTTGATTTTTAATTATCAAAATAAAGTCATTGGTGGCTTCCCACTTAGTGCTTATTTTATAGGTTTTATGCTTGTTAAAAAAGAGGCTACCGATGATTTCCCTCTTATGTCGATGAAAATGCTAGTGGCCTCTAAGCTAGTTTTATTTGATTTTCAATTATGGAAAATGAAGTCATTGATGGCTTCCTAATATTTTTAAATAACGTTGTTGTTCACCGAAAAAAGTTATCAATGGTTTCCCACTTATATGGATGAAGTTATTAGTGGCTTTCAAATATTTTTAAATGACTTGCTATTTCTTAAATAAAAATTGTTAGTGGCTTCTCTTTCTTATTGATGAAACCACCGAGTGGCTTTCAAATATTTTTAAATGACTTGATATTTACTTAATCAAAACTATTGGTATTTTTCCACTCATATGGATAAAGCTTCATATGGCTTCCAAACATTTCTTAATTACTTGTTGTTCATTGAATCAAAGCCATTGGTGGCTTCTTATAAAGGAAGCTACCAATGGTTTCAAATATTTCTAAATGACTTGTTGTTCATTAAATCTAAGTTGTTGGGGGCTTTCGTCTCATATGTATGAAGTCGCTAGTGGCTTCTAAACATTTTTAAATGACTAAATGTTCATTGAATTGAAACTATTAGAGGCATTGCACTTGTATTGACGAAGCTATCAACTACTTTTAAATATTTTGATGTTTTCTAATATAGGCTATAGTCATAAGTGACTCATTTTCTTTTATCCTTAGAGTATGTGTATAAGCGTTTTCTTAGCCTAAACCTCAAATAGGCATAGCTTCATAACATAGCAAAACCAGGTTTTAATTTTTACATGCATACAATGTAGCCTACCTCAAGTAAGACGGGGTGATAGTGATGTTAATCTTTCCTATTGGTAGTTGACTAGTTACCTAGATATTTATGTAGACAAGCTTTTTTTAGGATTTCTTATTTCTCCCTAATAGCTAGGTGGCCAATTTACACATGTTGCATGCCCCCATCAACATATTTGATATATAAAACTTTGTGAGATTTTCCTCTATATCTTATGTTTTTTAATTTGGCTTAGGATGCCTTTTTTGTGACATTAGAATTAATCAACTAAGATGGTGCTTTGATCACTCAAGTACAATTCCTCAAGATTGTGATATTTGTATCCTTAAGGTTTTAGTGTACCTACCCTTGTGAGTACAAACAATCTATGTATATTACAAGCCTTGGATTGTTCATTTAATGAATTAGAATTTTCAACTTACCTTACATTGTTTAGAGAGATTTAGTAAAGATCAAAAGAGGGTAGAGTTTTTTATTTAATTCAAAATTTTACAATCAATTCTATTAGGTTAAATTAGGCCATGGTTAAAATTTCATAAAATTCTAATACGAATAAGTAGAGATTTAACTTTTTTTGCTCGATTGATTTTGGGTTAATTTGAATTATAGTTTGAGATTTTTATTTTTTTTATTTTTTTATTTAGGCATATTCTTTGATTGATTTTGTGGGCGCTTGAAGCTTTGTTTGCTAGTGAATTATTGCTCACGGTATTGAACTTGGTGGTTTTTTGTGACTTTGTTTTATAGGTTGGGTTTGTCTTCACAAAATCGACATTGATTTGGTATCAAAGCTAAGATTAGTTTCCTTTTGTGCATTATTGATTATGAAGATGGTTCCCAAAAAAATCATCAATGAATCAGATGACTATGGTAGACATAGGAAGGGAGATTAAACATTTACAATAAGAGATTGATGATTGATGTAGGAAGAGCCATGAGGTCGAGGTTTATCGAGAAGTTAAAGATCAACAAGAGTCAAGAAAGTTAAACTTATTACAATTAAGCTCACCCAAAATGTTGTTTTATGATGAAAACTTTTAAAGAGGAAGAGAGTGTGATAAGAGAAAAAAAAAGGTTATTATGTTTGAGAAGATGAAGAAGGTCATGAAGTGAAAAGTACTTATCCCCTAACGGATCAAAAACTAGCTTGAAATGTTTGGTACATAATCCGAAGTCTCATTCACATGTCCTATTAATTTTAGAAATAAAGCCTTTTAAATAGAACTTCTTGCTCGTCACATTTATCTATCCATATATATAAGAAAATTAAGATTTTCTATGCTACATTATGTCTTACTAATTTTGTTGATTCAATTTAAGGAATATCAACTTCAATACATACCAAATTGTGAGGTACGAGTTTTATCTTTAAATTTTCTTTTGTCAATAGGAATCACCACCATTCAAAACAATCATATGAAAGAGATTATGCAAAAAGAGCCTAAACCAATCATATAGAAAGAGCCCGAGTGGCTTCATGAAAGAGTCAAGGAGCAATATTTACAAGACCAAAGCCAAGAACCATTTTGCCAAGGCCCTTGAAGTTAGGGTTCTAACGAATATATATAGTCAAATATTTTGATGCAGAATTCTCTTATGCAACTAAATACTATGTTATTCAAAATGGTTGCATAATCAAATTGCCTTTATTCTTTACAAATATGTCACACAACGAACAACAAGCCATAATATCAATAAAAAAAGATTGTAACCATGTCCTTAGATTGGTAAGGAGGTAGAACCTAGAGCCAAACCCTTCTAAAGAATAAGAAGACCATAAAAACCATAGCCTTACCCTTGAAGGGATAAATGGCCAAATACATTGGGATAGATACATAGTCATATTTTTAAAAGGACAAATGGCCAAATCCGATTCGACGACTAGATAGCCAAATCTTTCTAAGAGGGATATCTATACTTCAAATAAAACTCTAAATATTTATCCTTCACAGAGCAAAAAAGTAGGCAATTGTGCCTTTGAAGTTAGACATTACACTTTATTATAAAATATACATATCTCTTTTGGTAACTTACAAAAAAAAAAAAAAAAAAACAATCAAACTCCAAGTCCCACATAAACCTTGGTCTTTCTAGATACACTAAAAGAAAGAAAACAGCTTAACTAAACACCAAGTCACACACACTGTTTGGGCTCCTCAAATATTTAAATGGGAGAAAAGAACTAACCAAATGTTAGGTGCCACATACACCTAGTACAATACCTAGGACTTTAAACATTCCAATATATTTATGTGTTCATTTCTTAAGTATGTCCATGCTATGATTTTTGTTTACATTGATGAATGTTTGTTTTTATGGATGTTATGCTTTGTCTTTACATTAATGAATGTTTTTTTGTGTTTACATCAATGAATGTTTGGTTTTGCAAATGCATGTAAATATGATGTGTGTGTGTGTGACTAAAGGACTTTAGCATGACAATTAAAAGATTGAGGGCTTTAGTGAGCTAAGTGGTTAAAAAGATTAAGTGTTCCATAAATGTAATCATCTAGAAAAATCTAGAGAAAATATCTTAGCTTAAATGTCCATACATGTGTACACTTGTATTAACCTAGGAAAAATATCTTAATTAGTGTTTAATCTAGAAAAATATTTTGGCTTAGTAACCATACAAGTGTCCCGCATACATGATAATCCTAAGATCTCTTAAATTATGTTAAGGTTAGCCAAGAAAGAAGAAAAGAGAAAAACAATATCTTTGACTTCTTGAATGTTCTAGGTTAGCCCAAAAGAGAAAATAAAAAGGAGAAGGCTAGGTTGTTTGTGATTTTTTAGCCTTAGTGAACATAGAAATAACAAGAGAGATAACTAGAGAGAGAAACCAAATTGTTAAGGAAGGAAAAATTAGATAAGAGAGAAAGAGGAAGAGAGTATAGTTGAGAGGACGAGAGAAAAAGTATGGCCAAAAGGAAAAGATAAATAGAGTGGCTTAAAGGAAGGAAAATCTAGATAGTTTGGCTCGGAATGTAAACAAGGAATAAAAGGGAAATGCTTGAGACATTTTAGGTAGTTTCAATAATAGCTAAACCCTAAGTAAATGAAATCTTATCAAACTCACCATAAGATAGAAATTATAGGATTCTTACATTATGTGTTTGATTGATAATTGAATATTTAAGATGAAGTGTTTACTTGATGGTTGTACTTTAAGTGAGGATGTGTTTATTTAATGATAAATAAATGTAGTTTTAATGCACTATAAGATCTAGGTTTCATGGGATTGTTGTGTGTTTATGCATTGACTTAATAGTCATGTGTTTGATTCATGATTGATTACTTGTGATGATGTACTTACTTGCTATTTTGCACTTTAAATGATGATATATTTACTTGATGATTAGGTGCTATAGAATTTTTTTGTTTCGTGCATAATTAATGATTAAATACATGTGATAATGTGTTTATTGATAATTGGTAAGTGTAACCTAAATCATCATAAGGCATAGATGATACATGATTTTGTGTCCATATGTTT